GGCTCGGATATCAGTATGCATGGCAAGAATATGATGATTGGTCGCCCTAATGGCATGGTCCTGTTACCCTTTTGAGTAGCCAGTGACGCATCTGAGTTAGACCTTTCATCAGGTCGATACAATATGGGGATATGAAGAAGATGAAGCTTTGGCTGGGCTAAGGAACCTGTTTCAAAAAGACGAAGATATGGATTGCAATGTGATGGTTGAGGAGGAGGAGGAGGAGGAAGAAGGCCTTACTATTCAGACGTTTTAGAGGGGAGTATTTCTCAGGAACTGGACCGCCATACCATTAAGGTCCAGATGAGTCCCGGGGTAGCATGACTACTAATGTTATTTGAAAAAAACACAAGTCTTTTTGAGCATCTAGTTTTTAAAATATCTTCCTTTCAGTATTTTGTTTTGGAAAACATTGTTTTGAAGTTATTCAGACGATATTTTGTTTAACATTTCAGCATTTATCAAATAATTTAATGTTTTATTATCATTATCTTTCATATCTTTCTTCTGTAGCATTACTATTTCTTACCTTGATGAACCAATGGATGTGACATGTAATGAGAGAACACAACATAAGAGGATGACATACCTGAGGAGGTTATCAGAGAAGTTGAGAATTTTGAGAACAAACCTAAGTCCAACCTGGACAAAACCGAGGAAATCAATTTGGGAGATTCTGAAACCATGAAAGAGATTCGCATAAGCATCCACCTATCACCGTCAGAAAAGAAAGAATATACTCGTTTCCTGAAAGAATATGAGGATATTTTTGCATGGTCATATGATGACATGACTGGACTGAGCACATCCATAGTGGCTCATAAGTTGCCTACCAATCCAATGTCTCTGCCGGTGAAGCAAAAACTCAGAAAGTTCAAACCAGACATGAGCCTAAAAATTAAGGAAGATGTCACTAAGAAAATCAAAGCCAAAGTCCTCAGGGTTGTTGAGTACCCAACTTGGTTAGCCAACATCGTACCGGTTCTGAAGAAAGATGGGAAAGTCAGGGTGTGTGTTGACTATCGGGATTTAAATAGAGCGAGTCCCAAAGACCATTTTCCACTGCCAAATATACATATTCTGATTGACAATTGCGCCAAGCATGAACTCCAATACTTTCTAGATCGCTTCGCGGGTTATCATCAGATTTGGATGGATGAAAAAGACACAAAAAATAGCCTTCATTACACCTGGGGAGTGTACTGCTATAAAATAATGTCATTCGGTCTAAAGAATGTTGGGGTCACCTATATAAGAGCCATGATGACCATCTTCCATGATAAGATACACAAGGAAATAGAGGTATATGTTGACGACGTCATCATGTGTAAGACAGTCAGAAAATTGGTTAAGTAACTGGGGCAGAATTTTGAGAAGGATTCTCAAAATTCCTGAGCGGATCCAACAAACTTCGTTACATGCAGAACAGCTGAAGGATCACTTACTAAACCGGGGCAGAATTTTGAGGAGGACCCTCAAAATTCTAATGCAAAGAAAGTCACAATGTCTCTAAAAGTGTCGCAGTCGTTAGTTAATCTAATTTACTTGATATTATATACCACTATGTTTTCTAAAATAACTCTATTTCATCAAATAAGTACATATTTTTTCAAAAACTTTATTTCTATGGTAGCCAGGTGTTACCCAGGATAACTCAAATAGGATCTCCAGAGCAAAGCAAAGCAAAACAAGCAGACAAAGGCACGAACCAACCTCCCCTACAAAACTCACAATTTTTCTTTGTATGCAGGGACAAGGAATAACCACAAGTACGTACGCCTTAAAATCATTACCTTCATAACAACCGGACCTCCAAGCGTAAATATATCTCCAGCTAAGAAATATTCTGCTCGTATTTGCTATTTGTCCATTACATGAGACTAAGCTCTATCTCAATTCTTGCATGAGGCTAAGTCCTTCCTTCATATTTGTATAAGGCTAAGCATTGCCTTCTCTTTGCATGAGACTAAGCCCTGTCTTAATTCTTGCATGGGGCTAAGCCCTGTCTCCCTATCTACATAAGGCTAAGCTTGCCTTCTCTTTGCATGAGACTAAGCCCTGTCTTAATTCTTGCATGGGGCTAAGCCCTGTCTCCCTATCTACATAAGGCTAAGCTTGCCTTCTCTTTGCATGATACTAAGCTCTATCTTAATTCTTACATGAGGCTAAGCCCTGCCTCCATATTTGCATAAGGCTAAGCATTGCCTTCTCTTTGCATGAGACTAAGCCCTGTCTCAATTCTTGCATGAGGCTAAGCCCTGCCTCCCTACCTGCACGAGGCTAAGCATTGCCTTTTCTTTGCATGAGACTAAGCCATGTCTCAATTACTGCATGATGCTAAGCCCTGTCTCAATTCCTATATGAGGCTAAGCCCTTACTCCATATTTGCATAAGGCCAAGCATTGCCTTCTCTTTGCATGAGACTAATAGCCCGTTTGGCCAAGCTGCAAAAATCAGCTTATTTTGAGAAGTGTTTTTTTTTTAAAAGTTTTTTCAAAAGTACTTTTGGTGAGAAGCAGTTTGTGTTTGGCTAATTAGTTTGAAAAGCACTTTTGAGCAGCAATTAGTGTTTGGCCAAGCTTTAAAAAACTGCTTCTAAGTGTATTTTTCTCAAAAGTGCTTATCAAAAAAGTGCTTTTGGAGTGAAGTTACTTTTTTCTGCTTCTCCAAAACTGCTTCTACTTCTCCTCAAAGGCACTTTTTTTCCTCCCAAAAGCTTGGCCAAACACCTCAATTTTTGGCCAAAAGTACTTTTGGCCCAAAAAGAATCACTTTTGGCCAAAAAGAAGCTTGGCCAAACAGGCTATAAGCCATGTCTCAATTCCTGCAAAAGACTAAGCCCTGCCTCCCTAAGTGCATAAGGCTAAGCATTGCCTTCTCTTTGCATGAGACTAAGCTCTGGCTCAATTCTTGCATGAGGCTAAGCCCTGCCTCCATATTTGCATAAGACTAAGTATTGCCTTCTCTCTACGTGAGACTAAGCCCCATCTCAAATCTTGTATGAGGATAAGCCATGCCTCCATATTTGCATAAGGCTAATTATTGCCTTCTCTTTGCATGAGACTAAGCCCTGTCTCAATTCTTGCATGAGGCTAAGTCCTGCCTCCCTATTTTCATAAGGCTAAGCATTGCCTTCTCTTTGCATGAGACTAAGCTCTGTCTCGATCCTTGCATGAGGCTAAGCCCTGCCTCCCTACCTGCATAAGGCTAGCCTTCTCTCTGCATGAGACTAAGCCCTGTCTCAAATCTTGCATGTGGCTAAGCCATGCCTCTCTATTTGCATAAGGCTAAGCACTGCCTTCTCTTTGCATGAGACTAAGCCATGTCTCAAATTTTGCATGAGGCTAAGCCCTGCCTCCCTATTTACATAAGGCTATGCACTGCCTTCTCATAAGACTAAGCATTTTTCCCCTTTGCATAAGTGTTTCCCTATTCTATACCTTGCATTATCCTCTTCTCTCGGGGCTAAGCTCTACCCCCAAACTCTGCACAAGGCTAAGATTTTCCTTATTGTTACCTTTGGTTTCATGTATCTGCACTTCATGGGCTGATGTATAGCCAACTTGTCCAAAGGCTTTATAGTCCGAAGGCATCATCCTCATAGCCTGAAGACACCATGTCTTGGCCTGAGGATCTCTAAATACTGAACATCATTATTCAAAGGCGTCATGGTTCAGAGGAACCATTCTCATGGCCCGAGAACATAATTTCATGGCCTGCGAATCCCTTATCTCATGATTCATGGCCCAGGACGTCATGGTCTAAGGACGTCATCTTCACTGTCCAAAGACAACCTTCATGGTCCAAAAGGAATTTGCATCATGTTTAACTTCTCGCAGTAATCTATATACTTGCATGCATCGTTTTTTAAGTTTTTCAGGTAATCCAAGAGGTAACCGTTCTTCAAACGGGAGCAACCTTCGCTCCGGTTTTCGCTCATACCATTTATACCTTGCCATTTTTTTCAAACGTAACTGACTCCCATCTATTACTCACCTTTACTCTATGATCGTTTAGATACTTGCCCTATGATACATCTGTTACACTTCATATTCACATTCATAACTCTGCATAAATCCATCCGATACTATCTTTCCCAAAAGAACCATTTCTGAAACATACGATTATTCCTATAACAATTCCATCGATTTCATTTACCGTTGGGTCCAGAACTACACATGACTTGATTCCTATAAAACCAAGGATATGTAGGTAGCTTAGAGACCAGGGTGCAGCCTATACTTTTTCAAAAAGCCCCATTCGGTCGAAATCGGTCATCATTTCTTTACCCGACAACCCTTTCATCCTTCCTGGGTAAAGAGGGACAGTTGTTGATACCCAATTTTTTATTATATATTTAAATATAAATATATATTATTATTGGATTTACAAACATGCACAAGTGTTTTTATAATTTTTCTATAATTTTAAAAGCCTTAAATCAATTTATTTCTTCATTTTTTATTATGAAAATATCAAATAATTATCCCTCATATTATTTTTATGATGATTTAATCATCTAAATTCATCATTTATGCCCATATAGTGCTTAAATATTTTAATTGTATTTTTTATAATTACATTTATATTTTTAAGGCTAGAATTGCATATTTTGCAATAATAGACCATATATATATATGCATAATTACGTTATTTACATAAAAATGACTTTCTATATTTTTATAATAAAGTAATTATTTTAAATCATTTTCATGCACAGATGATATTTTTGTTATATTAATTATTTATTATAAATTATTTTACTGATTTAATTGAGTATTTAAAATCTAGCCCTTTTTCTAATTAATTTCGGACCTGGCCAGCCCAATACATTAACCAGCCCAATTAGCCCAAACCCATACCCATCCATATAACCCACCAGGCCATAATCTCTAATCCTAGTCGTTGATCTCAGAAGATCAACAGCTCCAAATTGCCCAACCCTTTTTAATTATACCAAACACCCCTAACCCTAAATCATTTCCCCCCATCTACCATCCTCTAATCATCTCATCTCCTCACCCCTCACCTCTCACCCTCTTAAACCCTAACCCGCCATCACCATTTCCTTATGATTCCTATCCAGAAATGGAATCATTCCTTGATTCCTTACCATATCTGCTCTTACCTCTTTACCAGCCACTCATTTTTTATATTACTTGACTGGTTTGCCTCAAGTGGCAATTTGCTCGAGAGATTCGAACCAGATCTGGTTCAAAATCTCTTATATTTTGGTTATTTTCGTCCGTGTTCATCCCAATATTTGTGAGTATGAATATTTTCATATCTTTCAGTTAAGGTTTTGGATCTCTGGTTCAAACTAGATTTTGGTTCAATTTTGGTTCGCTTTAATGTTATTATTTACCTTATTACTCATCGAATCTGTCAATTTTGGTTGAATCTTTTACTTACCCTAAAATTAGGGTCTAGATCTTTCCAGATCTGGAACGATTTTATTTTTTTAGTATTTTTCCTTTAATGTTTCGGTATCTCTATCTCAGTGTTTTATAGTTTCTCTACTATTTCTAACCGATTTTATTTACCCTAAAATTAGGGTTTTGATTTTCAAAGACGAATCAAATCTGTTGTTTCATCTCTGTGTATCTATTACGATTTCCTTTATTACTTCTGACTGATTTCACTTACTCTAACTATTTCTGTCTATATGTCTTTGTATTTTTGCCTATTTTTCTAGGGTTTCGATTATTTAATTATTTTATTAATGTTTTTGTCTATTTGTCTTTAACTTTAGCGTTAATTGCTGATTAATTTTACTTACCCCAAATTAGGGTTTGGAAATCTTTGCTAAGATTCCAACCATTCCTTTCCTCTACGATACCGGTACTCCCTTATTTGGTTCGATTCAACAGTTCTCATTACTCCCTAACTTATTTGATCCGACATTTTTGAATATTGAATGATTCTGTATAATACCCTCCCTAATTTAAGTAATACTTGCCTGATTTTATGCTATTATGTTTTGTTAATTGATTGAAGCTGACTTTAAATTGATTCTAGAATTATTCCCAATATTTATTTGTCTATGATGACCTATTACCTTATTTGTCTGTTTCAGTGGGTACTATTTAAACCCCTTCCCCACTCCCTCTAAAAGAAGACTCGAACTCTCTAATTCTCACTAAAAAAATACTAAAGTCTCTCTTGCTCTTTTGTTCTGATTTTTGTGCTAAGTGTCTCTTGATTTTGGCTAGCTAAAAGCCAAGGCCAAAATTATTCTGTAATCTCATTGATGTGGTATACTTACTTTATTTCTTACTTAATTGGTATGCCCTAACCTTTGCAATTTCATTTTCTATGTTTTACTTAACTAGCATGTTTAAATTCTCAGCATGATTCTGTCCTTCACATGATTATGTGATTCCATTTAGTAACGTTGTTAACTTAGGATTAAGTTATTTCAAGTAATATGAATCTTCTCGTAGGTTAGCCTAAGGTTTAATCTGTTTCATGCATTGTCGTTAATTCTGCACATGTTTCGAACTTTGCACATTACAAACATTTAATCAGTTAGCTTGTTGCTTAACTCATATGTCATGTTTCTGCCTAATTGCTACTATGATTAAACCATAACTATTTTGGATACTAGTATAAGTATTAGCGTTATCAGATTTCAACTTGTTTGAACTATATGCGGAACATGAACCTTGTTTGCTTCTTGGTGCAGTTCTACCTACAACTCTGTGTTTTGAATTTTCCTTCTTCTGAAATTGAATTGTTTTTTCAAAAGCATCCCTCTATTCCTTTTGTGTACTAAACCCCTACTCTTAGTCCCTTAGGTTCTCAACCACCCCAGTGTAAGCACTACCAAGGGCCCTTGAGACTCATTTGAACTCTGACAGAATGGGGGCTGGTTTTCCAATCTTTTATGAACTATCTTCTGAATGTGGTTCTGGTTTAAGCATTGTCCTGGGTCCCCTGAGGCCCTTGGAAACTTTGACACATTGGAAATATGGTCCTAATATGCTATAAACCCCTATGATGTGCTTCAAAGTGGTTATGGTTGGAAGGCTTGGTTCCCGGGTTTATTTGGGCCTATGAAAGCTCCCTATAGTGTAACTATTATCATTATATAATTCATTCAGCTATTTTGGTATGTAATAACTATGTAATAACAGGTTTGGCGATATTTAGTAAAGCTGGGGGAGGTTTTTCTTATATTTTTTGTTAAAACTAGGTAGAAATCCTGCCTATACGATTTAATTATGCAGATTGAATTATGTGAATACTATATTATTCTTAGAAATCATGCATGTAGGACTTTCATGATCATTATGATTCTACATTTTACATTTTTGCATACTAGAGATCCTGCCTATATGACTTTCATTCAATTCTGTACATTAGAAATCCTGTTCATAGGTTCTATACATGTTTTCAACAAATATGCATAGCAATCATATCTATAAGATCTTGTTATTTGAATTAACTATCCTTCCTGGCAATCTGTTTAATTTATACCTGTACACAAATAATAGATATCATGCCTATAGGGTTTAAATCAATCCAACAATAGATATCATGCCTATAGGACTAAAATCAATTTCAAACCTAGAAATAATGCCTATAGGATTTAAATCAATTGATATCATGCCTATAGGATTTAAGTCAATTCAGCAATTTGAAAGCATGCCTATAGGAAATGAAAATCTATTTTTTACGAGTTAAAATCAGTGCTACACCCAGAATTCATGTCTATGGGTCTGTAATTAATAAGCTCGTAGAAATCATGCCTATATAATCATGTTGATCGATTCTGAATGCAACCGCTATTATCAATCACTTAGGCAACGTATTTGTAGGACTTAACAATGATTCTGGATCTTAATTGTGACTTCCTGAAGTGCCTAGATTCATGTTGAATAAAATCAGTAGGCAAACAAATAGGTCTTAATGCTAGCCTTAATAAAGCTGCCTTTATACACTGTTTTTCTAACATAGATATCCTTCTTATGGGATTCCAAAGTTAACGAAGTTTGTTGATATTGTGTGCTTTTGTTGGCTATGTGTGGAGGTCAATGTGAGCCCATACTTGTTCTTTATCTGAAAGTCCTATTTGTTTTGTTTGTCACCTAGATTTCACATTTTTAAGTAACATAGGTGTAGACATGTGATTTTTTACCCTCCCCAAGATTTTTTAAATTTTAGCACGTAAATATTTAATTTAGGCCAAATATAGCTATTTCAACTCATTTTTACTGTTTTACTTTTATTTTAATATAAGAAAACAAAAATTACAAAAAATAGGCTCATTAATAATTTGTAGTCATTTTTAATCTTGAAAAATATCAAAAAAAATAGTTTTGTTTTAATGGTCAGTCTTATTTTAATAATTATTTTTTCTTAAATAGAGCTAATTAATATTTTTTATAATACTTTTAGTTAATTAAGCTAATTTTAAACATAACTAGTCATAAAGGCTTAAGTTTCTAACTCATTCTTTAAGCTCAATATCCAATACCCATTAAACTAATCCTAGAGACCCTTCTAGACTCTTCTTTGGAACCAAAAAAAAATAAAAAGGCCCTAAGGACTTAACACAAAAAGACCTAGGGACTAATTGAAAAAATACATACAAATATACATTAGACTTAGACTTTACAATAAAGAGGGGATAGGGGCAACACCTAAAGGGGGACACGGCGCGAAATCATCCGCGGCAGTTCTCAAAAATCAGAGAAATCCACCCCCAGAAGGTCTTCTTCTTCGCAAACCCCACCCCAAACGACCCCTGCTTCTTCACTCGATCCCAACCACAACAACCATCAGCGAAATCCTCCATTCCCTCTCAATTCCGACGCTGAACACACACATATACAGAGAGTAAAATTAAATAATTTTCTGCCTTCAGTTTTCATTCATAGATTTTGTTTGAAGCTCCATTGTTGCATCGTGGTTCAGCAGTATTTGTTCGACGTCGAGGTTCATGGTTCCGAGTCCGATTTGTTGTCGTCCTCTCGTTCAGATTTTAGACTTGAATCTCGCTTGACTAAGTTGTTGTATTAATTGAAATTCTGAAATGAAATTTCCCGTTATAAGACGACTTTTGCGTTCCAAATTTTGCATCTGAAGATTTGATTATTTAGCTATGCGTTTGAATTTTTGCGAACCAAACTCGCAGGTTCAAGTTTTGCGAGTAAACTCGTTTTGGAATTTTGAATCGAAGTTTCTCTTTGTGCTTGCGTTTGTGGTTTGTGGCAATTTCGATCAAGTTCGAGGTATCGTTCGCAGTGCGGTTCTTATTCCCGTTTGAGTCTGATTGTTTTCTCGAGTGTTGGTTGTAACACTTGCTCGACTTCTATCAGTGTATACTAAATATTTCATCAATCGAAAGTTTGAGTTTCAGTTTCCATAGTTGCTGAAGTTCTATTAATTGAAAGCAATTTCAGTTCTTAAGCTTCATTTTGCTGCTGGAATTTCATTGATTTGAGTCTATTTTGAAGCTCGTTTGTGAGATCTGTTCAAAGCTGGGTATTGAAGTTTCAAGGTCGTCAAGGTCCGGTCCGTTGATTTCGCCATTGAAGTTGTGGCCGATTAGTTTTGTTCTGTTTAAATGCCCCTATTTCGGTTTCTTTTAGTTCTGTTCAAATCGTTGTTGCCGGATGTTCTTGTACTCGACATCGCGAGAAGTTCTTATATCTGAAATTTCCTCTTTTAAAGCTGCTGTTGATTGTTGTTGTTTCGGATGAATTTATGGCTGAGCTCCAGCCTTAGTTTTTCAACCTTTTGAGCATTTCTCGTTCGTTTTGTTCCACCAGTGAGGTAAACACAAGAAAACTCCTTTTATATTTGAGTATTCTTCATTGAGATGTGTTACTGAGTTACTCATCTGTAGATTGGGGTCATGGATGGTTTGCTTGTTCAAATTTCGTTGTTGTTGTTATTGGATTTACCTTTTAATTACAATTTCTGAAATTCATCATGCTTGTTAAATTAGAATTGATCGGTTTCGAATGGTATAAGCAATGGCATATCATCGATTTCTTAGCGCAGCTTTGTTTCAAAAGTTATATGTTTAAGGCATAAATTCTACGACCGAAGGCATAATTGCAAAATTTGTTGTTCTCTATAATATTGTTATCTAATGTGAAGTTAGTGGCTGTAAATGGGATTGGAACAGGGTGATTCAAATGGGCCATTTGGCCAATGAAATTTGAATAAAGCTTTTTGGATCTTGATTCTTCTAGCACATTTTGAGCCGAATGAGTTTAACTTGGAAGATCTTAAGCCCAATAAATTTAATATTCATTCATAAGTTAGTTTTTTTTAAAAATTAATAGTTATCCAGAGTCTTTCTAGTTTAGCCAGATAATTGAAGTTGTTAAAATTCAGTAGTTAATCATTACATCCTTCCCCACAACAATAATTTCCATAAACTCTCGGCCTTGCTTTAGTTGAGTACAATCCTTTGAAATTAGAATCGAAGTTTGTCATTAGTTGAATTTCCCATGGCCTTCGCAAAGTTAAAAACGCGTAGTTGCTTTAGGCGCGTTATTTTAATAATATTACCTTCCTAAACTCGGGTGCGCATTTATCTGACCCAAATCCAAATCTCAACAACGTTAAATAAAATGTGTTGTGGACCGCGGGTGCATTTATGTAACGTGGTTCAAGATGTATTTTAGATGACGTTGAAATCTTCCTTAAAATAATTAAAAGCGGTTCTAAAGTTAAAATGCACATAGGCTAAAACATGTATGAAAATCAGATGATAGGCCAATTATAACAGTTGAGCGAGCTAGAACCACAAAACTCGGGAATGCCTAACACCTTCTTCCAGGTTAACAGAATTCCTTACCCGAATTTCTATGTTCGCAGACTATAATACAGAGTCAATCTTTTCCTCGATTCGGGATTTGAACCGGTGACTTGGGACACCATAAATTATCCCAAGTGGCGACTCTGAATTTTTAATGAAATAATCCTGTTTCGATTGTCACTTTAAGTTGGAAAAAACTCTCTTATACTCCCTTTCGGAAGGTGTAGGAAAAAAGGAGGTGTGACAGCTCTGACGACTCTGCTGGGGAACGAACCCAGAATCTCTGGTTCAGGGTTCAAAATTCGAGCTTAGATGAATTGTTGTATTTGGCTTTATATGTTACCCGATTACATGTTTGGTCCTAATGTGTTAAATGATGCTTTTACCGCTTTGATATTATCTGAACTCTATATAAACTGCTACGAAACCCTTGTCTTCTCATCTTCGGGGATGTTCTCGCTGGCCGAGATTCCTTATTCTGTTAGTGTCATACCTTGAAATAAGAAAGAGGCTCGGACAAGTTACTAAGCTGGATGGCCTTTTGGTTCCCGGTACGTAGCCCCCTCCTCGGCTCGAGTTGTCCGCTCGGGTACACAGTCTAGAACACATACCCAGATTTTGAACCTAGAATAATTCAGCCTCATGTCGGATCCCTAGTAGGAACGCTTGTTGGCATCACGTGCATCTGACTTTGGGGACTCAACACAGGGGTTGGGTCCGTCTAAGACAGGTGTACCCAAAATAATAGACCATCTTGATGCATCCTATGTGCTACATGTTGCATTTCTTCAAGGGTAAAAGGGTCATTTGGCGGACCAATGATAGTTGAGGGCAAATGAAAAAGAAAAAGAAAAGGAAAAAGAGGTTGAAGTGTGAAGATAAAGCGAGTGGGGCCAAATTATGTTTTCTGTCACATTCTTGTTAAGAAAAAAAAAGAGCTTAAAAATTCAGAAAAAAGAGATTTTGCACTTTTTCATCATTTTTCGTAAATCAGAAAATAAAATAAAAAGACAAAGAAAAAATCCAAAAAAAGTTACATGTCTCATCATTTTTTTAAAAACAAAAGACAAAAAATATGTTTTCTCTAAATTAGTTATTTTTTTTAATTTTCGCCCGTATTCAATCTGCCCGAACTACGCATACCTGATTCTCGTCTTTCGAGGCGTGATACGTAGGCAACCCACATAGGGTCCGGTCTTCCTAGTAAATTTTAGGTTATTGGCTTTGCGGGGTCTTAGCCAAATTTTGCACTTCTAGCCATATTTTGGCCAAATAAGTCATTTTGCAAAAATAGCATAAATCATGTCTTGCATGTTTCCAACAGGAAGGGTTATTGTCTCACATAGCGCTCTAGGTCTTTAACCTATTTGGTTTTAATTTTCTCATACAGGCATGGATTTACTTATCGGAGTTTGAGCATGACAGAGCCCCAGGACATCTAGTCAAGATCGCTCATTCAGGAGTAGATTAAAAGAAAATTTTCTTTTCTTTTTATGTTTTGAGTCTGTTTTTTTTTTATTTTATGTCGTCTTTTAACTTTTAGTTTTGTATAGTAATGTTGAATTTTATTATTATTATTGTACTTTCTATTTTGCATTTCAAAAGGTGTGTAATGAATCAAAAATCCAAAAAAAATTGCGTTTTATATTTTCGTTAGGAATTTTCTTTAGAATACTAATTGTAGGAATGAAAAAAAAAACGTATTTTAGAAATGGTTTTTCCTTTAAGCAATTAATATCTAGGATTTGAATAAAAATTGTTTTTATATTTTCTTTACTATATTAGGACCAAAATTCAAAAAAAAAATCCTTTTAGTACCTTTTAAAAAGTTTTCTTTAAGGCATTAATCTCAAAAATCCAAAAAGATTTTCTTTTGAGGTTCTTCTTTGGAAAATTAATGAAAAATGAAAAATATTCTTTTATTTTCCCAAGAACTTTAGGATATTGTACACAGAAGAAAAAAGAACATACTTTATCTTTTGTTTAAAGTTTCTTCATTTAGGCAACAAAATTGAAATCCAAAAACATGTTGTTTTATCTTTTTCATCGCTTGTTTCAAAATCCTGCATCAGGATATCAAATGAAACTTCAAAATATTTTTATGTGGTTTATTCTTTCGATCTTCTTCCTAAAAAAAATAATCAAATTTTTTTTTCTCTTTTAGGGTTTTTCCTTAATAATTTCCCATAGAGTGTTTGTTTCAAAAAAGCAAAAAAAGCAAAAAATATATGCTCGTTAAACTTGAGTTTGCAATAGGTTATAGAACATTAAGTCTAGAAAATTCAAAAAAAAAAGATTTGCTTCTTTTATTCCTCTTTTCTTATAAGAATAGTCCTTAAGGTAAAAAGAAGAGAAAAAAAAAAGAACGTTAGTTTGTTTACTTTATTCGGGAGATTCAAGAACTACGCAAAGATCTGATTCATGCGGCGTCATAATACGTAGGTAACCTACATAGGGTTCGATCGAATCATTTTCTTTATTATTAAAAGGAAAATAAACGAAAAGAAAAAAGAGAAGAAAAAAGATGGTGAAATTATGGGATGTGAGAAATAAGAAGGAAGAAAAAAAGTGATAATCAGAAAGAAAAAGGGGAAAGAAAATGAGCGAGTTAAGAAGTGCGAGGAAAGAAAAGAAAAGAGAAGATTCAAATGGACAAATTGGGATGATACCAAGTGACCTTATGACCCTCGAAGTCATTCTAGAACCACTAATTGTTGCTAGGTGCATTGCACGCGTGATATTTGTGTTGTTAAATGCCCTAACGCTAACGGGATGACTCCATTTTGTTCCTTTTGATATCTTCATAGTAGAAAGGTGGTTGGTTTGTGGTTCTCGAAGTAGTAACTCCTCTCCATAACATAAAGTCAAAAGGCAATGGCGGATAACAACAAAATTGGGTTGGTTGATACAGGTGCCCGAAAGCAGTTGGTTGAACAGGACACTTGTTTGGCTGATGAGGTAAGGATGTTAAGACAACACATGACGGACATGTATTAGGCCTGGATGACTGGGAAGGCAGCACCCCCACCACCACCTAGCTTCCTAGATGCTACCCTTACCCAAACTTCGGTCATAGTGCCAGATGATTCCCCATACTCTCCAGATCCACCTATTTATCACAACTTTCCCAACCATCCTAGTATCTCCATCACTCTTCCTTCAATTACCTCTCCCCAAAATTGTCCTCCTGTCATATCCACTATTCACAACAATGAATACCCACTCAAATCTCATGATGCCCAATTTACCTTTCAAAGGTTGCCCACAAGGTTCTTAATTCATACAAGAAGAGCCCTCGGGGTGAGCTTCATGCTGAAAGCGAAAAGGTTACAAGAAAAGAAGGGCGAGGTGAGATATCCAGGAAGCTGAAAGGCATAGGACAGTCTTTAAAGAACAAGCAATGAATGGGAGACAGGGTAACATGGCTTACAAAGAATTGTCTGTGTTCCCTGACGTTCGCCTGCCCGCAGGGTTTAAAGTGCCAAAATTTAACTTGTATGATGGGTGTGGAGATATGGTAGCCCACCTGAGGGTTTATTGCAGTGAAATGATAAGTGTTGAAGAGAAAGATGACTTGTTGATGGCACATTTCAGTAAGAGCTTGACTGGGGCAGCTTTGGAATGGCATAATCGTCAAGATGTCGGTAGGTGGCCTACATTGGGTGACATGGCTCAAGATTCCATTCGATACTTTTAATACAAATTAGGCGTTACCCCAGATCGCTCCTCCCTATCTAAAATGGAAAAGAAGCCGGAGGAAAGCTTTAGGGAGTTTAGTCTCAGATGGAGGGAGCAAGCTGCTCGAGTCAGTCCCTCAATTGGTGAAGAAGAAATGGTTGAGCTTTTGCTACAAGCCTAGGAGCCACCTACTTCAGTCATTTGATCCCGGCCTTGGGTAAGCCTTTCAATGA